AGGTGCTGGCTGGCTTTACCGCAAGAGGGAGCTTTCCACGAGAGGGGGGCTGATTCCCCACCTTTCCCCTCTTTTCATCCTTGAGTGACCAAGAAATCAGACTGCTTCAGAAAGAAATATTATTTCATACTTGGAATTAAATAGATGTATTTTTAAAATATTTTAATAAAAATTTAAGCTCTGGGGCAGACCTTGCCTCGAGGGTTGGAGAGTGTGAAGTGCTTCTGGAAGACTAGGGGGAAATAATTAGTTTTGTCTTCGAACAAAGTGTCTGACGATGGCATTCCCTTGGTCAGGACATTTTTATTATGTGCCTGCTTTGTACCAGGTTGGGAATGCCGGGATGAATGAGGACCCCACAGTCTTGGAGCAGAGGGAGACACAGACAAGAAGTTGGGCAAAGTTGCTACTAAGTACTTAGTTTTATAATTGGGTGCTTTTGGGGCAGAGACCAGAGACCTGTTCTTATGTGATCAAAGAAGATTTTCTGGAGGAAGTGATGTCCAAGCCAGCCTTACTAATAGATGTTGGAATTAATAATTTTTTCAGGCTAGTATTGTATGAAAAATAAATCAGAACCCTGTTTTGGGACCATTCAGTGCCTTTCTGTTGATAACAAGTTGAGAAACTGAATTCCAGACTTCATCTGTTTAGGGTACTTTTCTAGTATTCTGGTTTTCCATTCTCCAATGTAGATTAGCCTCTGCTTTCCAGAATGTGCACGGCTGTGTGATGGCCGTGCTTTTTGCATGCGTTGTTACTCATGTCTAAAAAACCCTCCCCTTTTCCCTCCCCTTTGTCTGCCAGACGGACTTCTTTTGCAGTTACTTCCTCGGGAATGTCTTCCTTGACTGCTCCTGGGGTAGGTTGGAGGCACCTCCTATGAGTTCAAGGGCTGGCCTTGATCTTGGAGTTTCCCTTCCACCAAATAATCTGTCTGCTTCTTTATTTCTAAATGTAACTTGAAGGCAGAGGCAGCATCTTTCAGAGAACCCGGGATGTCCCAACTGTCCAGGCAGTGTTTGCTGAATGAATAGGCATAGAAGCTTTTGAAGATTGTAGCCTCATGTATATAATTGAAGCTCTTGGTTCCAGCCAGTTTTAAGAGAGTGTTATTGACTGAAGAAGATAGAAGCACCACTGAGACAGATTTTATGCATGTGGTTGAGTTATTAACCTCATAAAGCTATTTACAGTCTTTTGCATTTATACCTCTTTTATTTTTTGCCCGAGTAACCAATAGAGTAACTCATAGTTTCTACTTCCTGCCAACTGCTAATGTATATTATTAAATCTGACCACAGTGATTTATTAATTAGAAGTCTTTTGGTTATTAACAAAAATCAATTGATTTTAGCATATGCCAGAATGAGGGGCATATGTGATGAAGAGACAGGGATGTCTCATTGAATCTAAGATCGAGAACATAGCTGGGCTCTAGGAGGAACCGATCCCAAGAATCAGAAGGCCAGCAGGATTTCCAAGAGTCCTTTCTGTTGGCCTCTGCTTTCTCCTCAAAGTTCCTTCATTTGTTTTTCTTACTAACTGGCTTTCTCTGCTTCTCAGTGGATAGAGGATGGTTTCCCCTAACCCTCAGCTTTGCAGCCAAATTCCAGGTGTATGGAAAATCCGTCTTTCCATCTCAGATCCAAATTCCCCAAGACTGGAGTGGCCTACAGTAGATTTCTATCCCTGATTTGAGTCAGCAGTGACCAGGGAGTGGGGTTATGCTAAACAACCCCGTTAGGTGGGAAGATAAGAGAAAAGGATGGGGAGATCAGCAGACTGACACGGTGAGGCAGGCAGACACTAAAAATATTTTTGTAAATAAAAATACGGTGACAAAGACTAGAGACCCATACACGCTTTGTTGTAGGATCATTTTGGGGTTATTTTGCCTAAAAAATTTTTTTTCAACCTTGGGAGAAACTTGCAGATTTAACTTTGAAAAGATACTTACCTTTTTTTTTTTTTTTTTTTTAAGGATTTTATTTATTTATTTGACAGAGATCACAAGTAGGCAGAGAGGGATGCAGAAAGAGAGAGAAGCAGGCTCCCCACTGAGCAGAGGTCCTGATGCGGGGCTTGGTCCCAGGACCCTGAGATCATAACCTGAGGCAAAGGCAGAGGCTTTAACCCACTGAGCCACCCAGGCACCCCAGATATTTACCTTTTTGAGTGTGAATATAATTTGAGATTCCTAAGGTAATGGCATGTTCAATGAAGTAATGAGTAGGTTTTAGCTTTATGTATGTGTATAATACTTAAACATGATACTGTCTTCACTTGTTGGGAGACAGGTTCTAGAGTGGCTCTCATGCAAATACAAAGGGAGACCCACGTAATTTAAAGTTTTTCAACAACCACATTAGAAAAGTGAAGCAGGTGAAATCAATTTTAATAATACATCCATATGTATTTATGTATACATAAAAAGAGGGTTTGTAACTCTTCTGCTTATTAGAAGAGGTCATCATGGGATTTAAATATGCTAATAAATTTGAGAGTGCTGGGAGAAACATTTAAAGGGTTATATAAGCATAAAGCATTATTTTAATTAACTGAGGGAAAACCCACTACATTTTGGAATCAATAGCTATCATTTCCTGAGGTTTTACTCTGTGCTGGACACTGTTCTAAGCACTTCATATGTGTTAGGTGATTTAATGATGACGATGCTTGTGGAACAGGCGTGCTCATTATCATCTCTGTTGTGTAAATGAGGAAATGAAGACATAAAGAGTTAAGAAACTAGCCCAAGTCACGTAGGTTGTAACTAGTTGAGCTGGAATTGGAAGTGGAATGTGCTTTTTTTTTTTTTTTATTGTGGCAAAATAAACACAACATAAAATTGATCATTTTAACGATTTTTAAAAAGAAAGATTTATTTATTTATTTTAGAGAGTCTGGGGTTGGGGGGAGAGAATGCGGGGTGGGGAGGGGCAGAGGGAGAAGGAGAGAGAGTCTCAAGCAGACTCCACACTGAGCGCAGAGCCCAACATCCATCTCAATCTGACGACCCTGAGATCATGACCTGAGCCAAAACCAAGAGTTGGACACTTAGTGGACTGAGCCACTCAGGTGCCCCTCATTTTAACCATTTTTAAGTGGACACTTCTGTGGCATTAAATATGTTCACTTTGTTGTTTAACCCACCATCCGTCTCCAGAACTTTTTCATCTTCCCAAACTGAAACTCTACCCATTAAACACTGATTTCCCATCTCCTCTGCCTCCAGCTTCACCATTGGGAACCACCATTCTACTTTCCTCCCTATGAATTTGACTGCTCTAGGAGCCTTATATAAGTGGAATCATACAGTATTTGTCTTTTTGTGGCTGGTTTGTTTAACTTAGCGTAATGTCTTCAAGGTTCATCTATGTTGTAACGTGTCAGAATTTCTTTCCTTTTTAAGGCTGAATAATATTTCAATGTATGGATGTACCATATTTTGTATCATGATTCATCCATTGATGGACACTTTGGTTGCTTCTGCTTTTGCCTTTTGTGAATGATGGTGAACATGGTGTACATATATCAGTACGAATCCCTGCTTTCAGTCCTTTTTGGGTGTATGTATATCCAGAAATGGAATTGCTTGGTCACATAGTAATTATATATTTAATTTTTTGAGAAATTGCCATACTCTTTTTCATAGCCCCTGCACCATTTTACATACTCACCAGCTATGCATGAGGGTCCCCATTTCTCTACATCCCCTCCAATATTTACTTTTTTCTTTCCTTTTTTTTTAAATAGCCATTTTAATAGGTCTGAAAGCGGCATCTCATTGTGGTTTTGATTTACATTTCCTTATGACTAGTGTTGTTGTACATCCTTTCATATATACCTGTTAGCCTTTTGTATGTCTTCTTTGGAGAAATATCTGTTTAAATCCTTTGTCTCTTTTTAAATTGGATTGTTTTTGTGGGATTTTTGTTGCTGTTTTTGAGTCAGAGATTTTTGTTTGTTTGTTTGTATATTGCAGATATCAGTCTTAATAGATACATTATTTGCAAATATTTTCTCCCATTTTGTTGGGTTGACTTTTCATTCTGTGATAGTATCCTTTGATGTGCAAAAGCTCTTAATTTTGGTAAAGCCCAACTTATGTATTTTTTCTTTCAATGTCTTTGTTTTTGGTGTCATATCCAAGAACTCCTTGCCGAATCCAATGTCATAAAGCTTTCCCCTGTGTTTTTTATTTCTGAGTTTTATGTCTTGTCTGTGTCTGTACCTCTTGTCTCTGTCTCTATTTTTCTGTGTTGTTTTTTTCTGTATGTTTATAAATTATTGAAGCTTATGTATATGTTCTCTCTCTTTTCTTCCCTTGTTCCTTTCTTTGTTGTTGATCTGTTTGAAGGTATTGCAGATATCATGAGATTCCATGTATCTCCTAAAAATAATGGCATTTTCCCCAAATAACTAAAACACCATGATTGGTACTGCTCTTGGAACTGGGCAGCTGGGGCTGCTGCTCTATGCTTGGTACTTTGGAGTGACTTTCTTGCATTTTTTCTAAGTCTCTCCATTCCTCCCTTTCCCCTGCTCCAGTGCCTGAAAGGTGGGGCTCCTCGAGTGCTTCTCTTTTAGGAATCTCATTGAGGGGTGCCTGGAGGGCTCAGTCGTTAAGCGTCTGCCTTTGGCTCAGGTCTTGATCCTGGGGTCCTGGGATTGAGCCCTGCATTGGCCTTCCCGCTGAAAGGGAAGTCTGCTTCTCCCTCTCCTTCTCCCCTGGTTTGTGTTCCCTCTCTCTGTCAAATAAATAAATAAAATCTTTTTAAAAAAATGGAATCTTTTATTGGGAATTATAGTACATTTTCTAATTATGTTGAAAACAGAAGCTTAACTTTATTTTGTTGATTTTATTGTTTACCGCTATATATACCATATTTTCCTCCTAAATTGTTTTTCTCTTTATTTTTGTATATTCCTTTAACTGGTTAGCATGTACATATTTAGTGTTGTAATTATTAATTACCTTTTTTCTCTCTCTCCAGCAATGAGCTGAAGCTTTTGGAGGAAGCAACCATTTCAGTCTGCAGGTCTTTAGGTAAGGGGCAAATGAGCCTGGGTATATATGTATGTGTGTGGCATTTGTTTCAAAATTTCTGTTACAGGTTTTGGTAGTGTAAGATGAATTGAATTAATGAAGTGACATATTCTTGATGATAATATTTAATAATAATTACTTCTTCAATTTATGGTGCTCAATGATGCCACTAGAATGGAACATTTAGTCAATAGGAAAAGAGACACGTGTTTAGCTTACTTGCAGGAGTGGTAATGGACTCTGCTAAGCCATGCTCTTTCAGCTTGTTCTATTCTTTTTTTAATTGAAGAATAGTTGACATACAATGTTACCTTAGCTTCAGGTGTGCAACATATAGTGATTGATTTTGAATTGACATTTATATACGTTAGGAAATGCTCATCATGATAGGTCTTGTTATCATTTGTCCGCATACACTACAATATTATTGACTCTATTTCCTTTGCTTTACTTTATGGTCCCTGTGACTTACTTATTTTATAACTGGAAGTTTGTACCTCTTAATCCCCTTTACCCATTTCACCCATTCCTCCCTCTCCCCCCCAATTGCCCCCAGCAACTACCACTTTGTTCTCTATATTTATAATTCTGTTTTGTTTGATTTTTTTTTTGTTTGATTCCCCATATAAGTGAAATAAGTATTGATCTCTCTCAGACTTCTTTCACTTAGTGCAGCACCCTCCCTGTCCCTCCATGTTATTACACATGGCAAGACTTCATTCTTGTTTATGGCAGAGTAATATTCTGTTGTATGTATATACCACATTGCCTTTATCCATCCGTCTATCATTGGACACTGTTGGCTGTTGGAGATGCCGCAATGAACCTGGGAGTGCAGGTAGATATAGAAGTTAGTGATTTTGTCTTCAGATAAATACCTTGAAGTGGAATTGCTGGGTCATTTGGTAGTTCTATTTTTAATTTTTCTGAGGAACCTTCATACCGTTTTCCACAACAGCTGCCCCAGTTTACATTTCCTACCAGTGGGGCACGAGGGTTCTCTTTTCTCCACATCCTGGCCAACACTTCCCAGTTCTAGTCTTTTTTATTTTAGCCATGCTGACAGATGTGAGGCGAAATCTCATTGTGCCTTTGACTTACATTTCCCTGATGACTAATGATGTTGAGCATCTTTTCTTATGTTTGTTGGCCATGTGTATGTCTTCTTTGGAAAAATGTTTGGGTCTTCAGCTTCGTTTTTAATCATGTGGGGGTTTTTTGGTGTTGACTTGTATGAATTCTTTACACATTTTGAATATTAACTTTTTTTTTAATGACTTTATTTTTAAGTAATCTCTGTACCCCGCGTGGGGCTTGAGCTTGTAAGGGTGAGAACACGAGTTGCATGTTCCACTGACGGAGCCAGCGAGGCACCCCTTGAATAGTAACTTCTTATTGGATATATGATTTGCAAATATCTTCTGCCATTCACTAGGTTGCCTTTTCATTTTGTTCACGGTCTCCTTTGCTGTGCAGAAGCTTTTTAGTTTTATTTGGTCCCACTTGTTTATTTTTTGCATTGTTGCCCTTGCCTAAGGAGACAGATCCAAAAAAATATTGCCACGACTGAACTCCAAATTTACTGCCTGTGTGTTCTTCTAGGAGTTTTCTGGTTTCACGTCACACTTGTAGGTCATTAATCCATTTCAAATTTATTTTTGTATATGATGTAAGAAGGTGGTTACCTGAGAGGACCCTTATTTTTTTCTTCTTCTTTGTTCATTAGACTTTTTCTTTTAACTGTTACAATTAAGTGTTCCTCATTATACTTTTTTCTTTATGATTTTGCTTGTAATTTGATGAAGTTTTTTTTAATTGGTTTATTAAGATCTTTTTTAGTTCTGAAGTTTTCTATAGTTATGGCTTTGATTTTACTTGTGTTTGAGTTTCTTCTCCTCCAACGTAGGATCACCTGTTAACATTCAGGTTCGATGTCCGTTCTTTGCTTTCCATATCTTCTTTTTTCTTTGTCATCTTTCGCTTCTTGAATTTACTCTTTTATGTCTTTGAGTCAATCAGTGCTTTATACATAACAGTTCTGTCAAGATTCTAGTACATCTTTTAGTTACTTCATTTTTTGGTTTTTAATCATTCTTTGTTTTAATCATTCTTTGTTTTTCCTGGACTTTAGACTGCTCTCTTTTCATTATACTCATTTTTCCCAGTGGCTTTCTGTTTTTGTTGTTGTTGTTGTTGTTTTAAATAGATGACTTTCTCATCTTCCACTGATGATGCTTGTTACTAAATTCATTTGACAGTTAAAAAAATATTGTTATTTATGTATTTATCTACCTATTTATCTGTCTGTCTATTTGAGAGAGTGAGAAAGAGCAAGAAAGAGCATGCACAGGGTGTGGGGCAGAGGGAAAATTAGGCTCTCCGCTGAGCAGGGAGCCCAGTGCTGGTCTGGATCCCAGGACTCCGGGATCATGACTTGAGTCGAAGGCAGACACTTAACGAACTGAGCCACCCAGGTGCCCCAGTCCTTTATTTTTTTAAAGTAGCTCCATTCCAATGTGGGGCTTGAATTCAGGACCCCAGGGGTCATATGCTCTACTGACTGAGCCAGCCAGGAGCCACACTGTTTGATAGTTTTGATTCAGCTCTTTGGATGAAATTCTAGTATAACTTATTCCTTACCTGAGTGTTACTGTTACTATTTTTTCTTATTCCTTAAACCAGCAAATATTTATTGAGTTCCTGCTATATTTTAGGCTCTTTCCTATACCCTGTGCTTTGTATTCCATAATGTAGTCTATATTCTGGCAAAGAAGACCGACTTGGATTCCTAACCTCATGGGTCTGTCTGAGTAGGGGAGTCAGATCATAAATAAATACACCTACTCTCATGTAATACGTCTCCTCAGAAAAATAAAGCAGGGTGAAGGCCAGGGAGCACCCATGTCGGCACGTTGTTTGCTGTCGGAGAGAGTGTGCTCCTAACCTTGTCCCTCATGTGTATCCTGTAGGCGCCTGTTGAATCTGCTGTTAATTTTAGCCTGAAGGTGGGCTGATTCTGTTTTCTAACCTAATTTCTAGAAGCCAAGAAGGTTTTATTTTGTGTAGATTTTGCTTGCTTTAAACGGGACTGTCCTGTACCCTTACTCCTTGGCTTTGGAGTGTGAGGGAATTACAAAATTCCTGGATTGAACATCCGGATCAACAGGCTTTCTCCCTGTGCCTTCCAGCATATGTTGTTCTGTGTCCGGGGTGTTTATTTCTTCTCAGTTGTTTTCTGGGGGTTGTAGCCTCAGAGCTGGTATAGAAAGTGACTTGGTGGGAGTTTTCTGGTTGGAGAAGACAGTGGGGGGAGATTTTGTCTTCGGAGGTACTTTGAAGCTGTTAGCCTTGCGAACCGTCCATTGATTACCAAGTAAATACTTAGATCATTTCTATAAACTCTGTCATTAGTGAAAGTATTCTCTGTTTTGGTGGGGAGAAGGACTATTTGGATTTAGCATTTCTGTGAATTTGTATCTGTTTGTATGTTTTCATGGGTGTTTGATTTTTTAAAAGTTTCACACTTCTAGAAATGAGGGCCAAATAACCCACTAAACGGCCATAAAGCTCATCTTTCAGTTTCACTCATTTTGACCTCATGGGCAGGCCTCATCTGTATCTCTCACCGTTACATTCTACCCATACTTGAAAGTATGAAATATGTACAGAAAAGCTGACAACTGAAAAGGATATACAAAACAAACAACAAAAAGTGGTGTGTTCTCACATATTAGATAGAAACCTCAGGAGTCATATCATTTCATTTGTAAATATCTCGTAAGAATTTTTTTTAAAGGAGACCAATGCCATTATCTTACTAGGAAACCATTTTTAGCATTGTCAAATAGCCACTGAGTGTTCAAATTTCTAATTGTCTTAGTTTTTGTGAATCAGAAACCATATAGAATCTGTATGTTATTATTGGTGTATCTTTACAGTTCTTTCCATAACTAGTTTCCTCTGGCAATTGTCTTTGTCTTCTTTTTCTCCTATTTATGGAAGAAAGTAGGTAGTAGAGTTTCTTCAGTGTAAATTTTGTTGATTGCATCCCCATGGATTGTTAACTTTTCTCTGTTCTCTCTATTTTCTGTATCTTTGGTATTGGATTTGGGGACACAGGGGTATTATAGAGAAAAATTGGGAAAGGTTCTTTCAGGGGCTGGGAGCAAGTCCAATCTCTCACCCAAATGGAAATTCTCTTTATAATACCCTTATCTTAGTGTTATTCAGACTTTGCTTGAATTCCTATAGAGATAGGGAAGTCCCTTCTTTACACAAAAGCTGCTTAAGTTAACAGATTGCTACAACTTCTAGTGTCAAATGAGTTAGTTTTTTTTTTTTTTTTTTTTAATTAAAAAAATCTTTGGGGCACCTGGGTGGCTCAGTGGGTTAAAGCCTCTGCCTTCGGCTCAGGTCATGATCCCAGGGTCCTGGGATCGAGCCCCACATCGGGCTCTCTGCTCAGCAGGGAGCCTGCTTCCTCCTCTCTCTGACTGCCTCTCTGCCTACTTGCGCTGTCTGTCAAATAAATAAATAAAATCTTTAAAAAAAATCTTTTACTGAAGTGAAACTCAACATAAAATTAACCATTTTATTTATTTATTACTAACATATAATGTATTATTTGCTTCAGTGGTACAAGTCTGTGAATCATCAGTCTTACACAATTCACAGCACTCACTATAGCACATAACCTCCCCAATGTCCATAACCCAATCACCCTCTCCCTATCCCCCCACCCATCCCCAGCCACTCTCAGTTTGTTTCCTGAGATTAAGATTCTCTTAGGTTTGTCTCCCTCCCTGGTCTCATCTTGTTTCATTTTTTCCCTCCTTGCCCCCCACAACCACCTGCCCTACCTCTCAAATTCCTCATATCCAAGAGATCATATGATAAATGTCTTAGAGAAAGACCAATTTCACGTAGCATAATACCCTCTAGTCCCATCCACATCATTGCGAATGGCAAGATTTCAGGGTTTTTTTTTTTGATGGCTGCAT